TAGTTAATCATTTAACCAAAGAAAATGTGTACTGCCTTAACAAGCTGTTTTCTGTCAACATCATGAAGTGTTTGGAAATTATTCCCCTCTTAATCTTCCTTTCGCAGTGAACTTATTGGAACATTCAATTTAGTAGATTTAAATACATGATAACATTTTTAAAACTACCACTTTGTTTTCATTAGAACAACGCTCAAAACTGCTTTAGTCAAATTTTGGTCATCTGATTTTTTTTTTTTAAATATTCCTTCTTATATGTATCAAAACTTATACTAAACAATAAGTTTTGGGTTGCAAAAGAGGATTTATTTTTTGCACTTTTCTGTGTCTTTGTCTACAAGACAGACAAAACCAAATTCAAGTGCTAAAGGACCCCTTTCCTCTTTAACATTCCAAACCCTCTTCCTTTGTTTCACAAGAGCATTTTCACTCACCCCTCTTTATAGCTCTGCTGACCTTTACCAATCAATTCTGGTAAGCTTCACTTACTCGGTAATATATATGTGTACTTTAAAAAAGAAAAGTTGAAGTGCAATTAAATTTACCTGGGAAGCCTGTTAAACTTGTGCCGAACAAGAGCACACTTCCCACCACACTTCTCACAAGAATATTCAAGTTCTTCTGCCTATAGAAGACAAAAGAGAAAAATAAAGAAGCATGAAATTCAGTCAGCATTAATTCACTAATCGTAAATAATCTTCTCTAGAGTTACTAGTTCCGTGGGATGATAACCTAGAATCAGTTTAAATTTTGTGCCTAGAGCCATAAGTCTTAACCAAATTAAGATATAATCCTCAAAACACAAATATCTTATAATATTCCTATTTCAGAATTCCTAATTTCCTTTTCAATTTATAATTGTAAACAGATTCAAAGGAGCAGATTCTCAACCTTTTCCCCATGAACCACTGCTAAGAGTATACTCAGATTTTAACATCAGGACATAGCAGAGATAAGATCATCTTCAAATTGGAATTCTTGGTATGTTAGGTGTAACTTTACCCCTTTCTTAAAATGAAACTCAATCTTTAGTTGACAGCCTACTAAGAACAGCTACTCTAAAAAGACCAAAACTTGAGGTGAATATCATCACCTGGGGAAAAGTGAAACAAGAAATCCATAAAAAAAAAAAAAAAAAGGAGGGGGGGTAAAAATACATGGGAAAACTTTCCAAGTGTATGATAATAATACAAAAAGCAAAGAATGACTAAGATAAAAAGAAAAACAGGGGGAAAAAAAGAAGAAAAACAGAATATTTATACCTGAGTGGAGCTGAATATTCATCATTAAAAGAACAGAATTTTTTTTTTAAATTTTTGGAAGACAATCTTGCCAATTTGCTACAATAAAAGAAGGACCACTATTTTATTGGCAAGGGAGGACTCTGATAAATTTCCAAAAGTTTTAATAACTGTTGCACAATAGGTCCAATTATGCCCCAGAAAGTTTCTGATTATCTATAACAGTGTGTCACAGACTCACATATTTATCTACAGCTTTGGTAAATATGATCCTTCCTACTTCTAACGGGATACATACAACCTAAGAAAAAGTGAGTAGAGTTTTTGTTTTTTCATCCCTTAGATCTTAGTATACTAACCTATATAGTACCTCTAATTTTAATTCACATTAACAAACTTTAGCATATATTACTTCAAATGCTCTAAATTATTTTTTTCAAATAATAAGTTTTCTAAGGTTGTCTAAAATGCTTGCTATTAAGTTACAAATATATAAAATTTAGTTATGTAAAAATATCAAAGATATTATTACCCTAAAGAAAAGATCAAGAGAATCTTGAATTGAACGAGGAGGGAGTGGCTTTTTCCTTCGAGGAAGGTCAATGGAAAGGTCATTAAACTGTTCTCTTTTGGGAATAATCTCTCCACATCTGTTAAGAACAAAAGGAGACAAATATAAGCATTAAGAGCAACAGAAAAGAAATGCAAACATACTTGAGAAACAATGTTCCCCCAAAGAATGCATTTCACTAACACACTATCACTAGAGATAAGAAATAAATGTTTATGACTTCATATGCTTACTTTATAAATTAATACAGATAAAACCTTGACTGTAAATAGTTAAGTACTTTGTTAAAATGCTAAATTTAAAAATATTATATTTTTAAACACTCCAAACTTTAAAAGGTAAAGCACTGGGCCAGCTATGTGATGTAGTGCTTGGGGTGGCTGGATCCCACATGGGCAGCTGTGTGGTTTGAGTTCCAGAACAGGTGGCTACAAAAAACACCAGGTGTACGTGAGTGCATGCCCAAAGTTTAGAGAGGAGAATGAAAGAGGAAGGACTGCAGCATAGTCATCCCCCACAGGGAGTACTTTCTCACTGTGTCTCTTTCAGTTTCTCTCTCTGACAAGTGCACACTCCCTATAGCAAATTTTTTTAAAAAAAGAAAAAGAGGGGGCTGATAGGTTGCATGGTTCAAGTCCCAGACCTGCCTGCTTGCTTTCTCCCCCACCCCCGTTCTTCTCTGGTACATATGTATGTATGTAAGTACAAATAAATTTAAATAATTCTTTTAAAAAAAAGTGAAACATAACATACATAGAGAAAAGAGAGTCAGTCACACTTGTGACTGGTTTTTGAATGATGAATTATCAAAGTTAACATCCTTGGAGAAACAGCTGATGGTATAATGGTTACGTTGCTGGACTCCCACATAGTTGACCGTGGTTTGAGTCACAGACCTGGTGGCTTAAAACTCAATCCAGGTGCAAGTTTCTTCTCTCTCTCTCTGTTCCCCCTCTGTTTATCTCTGTCTGGTGAGTGCACATGGCCTATAGCAAAAATTTTTTTAAAATAAAGAAAAAAAAAAAGAAAACACACAGGGGCAAAAAATTAAGCAGTGGAACTATGGTCAAATATGTACAGTATTATGTAATGTTCAGTATTGAAGAAAATAAATCTATATTTGTGATTTGATTATTGTACGATATATGCATGTTTGAAAAGTCATAATGTACCCCCACAAAAATGTACAGTGATTATTTGTAAACCAGTAATATAATTTTTATAACAAATTGTGAATATTCAAAATTATTCTGCTGTAGCCAGTAATCACAATTTAAACGTAAGATAATAAGTAAAAAAAGAAAACAAATTGTGTGATTTCATTTAAGACCCCCAAAATAGACAAAACTCAAGAGCAGTGTTGGAAGTCTAAGTAACAGTTACCTTTTGGGAGAAGGAAGGGGTTAGTTTTGGAGAAGTGGTATTTGAAGGGGCTTCAAGGGAGTTAATATATTCTGCTTCTTGATTCAAGTGATTATTACAACGGTGTCAACTTTTTTTTTTTTTGAGAGATTTTTGCTATAGGGCAAGTGCGCTCACAGAAGAGACAGAGAAAGTGAGAAATTACTCCCCCCAGGAAGGACGGCCATGCTGCAATCCCTTCTCCTCTTAGGATTTTGGGCAGGCACACACATATGCCCAGCATGTTTTTCAAGCTTCCAGGTCTAGATGTAAACCATATAATTGGCCAAGTGGGATTCAGTTGCTTTAACCATCATGCCACCAGTTGGCTCCCTGTAATTTATTTTCTCTTTTGTTCAACTATTAGTATTCAATTGTGCTTGCTATACAGGACTACAACACATTTTCATTGTTGTCCAGTGTTAACTGGGAGGAATATTCCATAAGAATCCATATTATAACTATTGATGGATATTTAGACTGTTTCCAGTTTTTGGCCATATGAATAATGCTATTTTGAAAACTCTGATCCTTGCCTTGGTATAATTCCTTCCCCTTTGAGTATGAGTAGAACTGATAATGATGATGAGCTACTGCTCCTATGATGATGTTACTTTCGCTAGTAAACAGAACTTTGCAGTATAATTAAGGTTACGGATCTTTACATTAAGAGGGAGATTATCTGGATGAATCAGACTGATTCATATTAGCCATCTAAATCTGGCTCTAGAAGGCAGAAACAGGAAGTCTAGGATGATAAGTCAGAGAGAGATGTTCTCTCTAGTCTGAAAAAAGTCAAACAGCATAGCTGTGAACTACCTATGGGATCTACCAGGCAAGGAACTACAGGCAACCTTTAGGAAATAAATGGTCTCAGCTGAAAGTTAGCAAGCAAATGGAGACATCAGTCCTACAACCACAAGAACCTAAATTCTGCATACAATCCTAATAAGCTTAGAAGAGGATCCTGGGCTATAAATCAGAATAGACTGCAACACTTTGAATTCAGTCATGTGATACTCTGAGCCAAGAAAGCCACACCATGCCCAGATTTCTGACCTACAGAGTTAATAAATGGGCTTTTTTTTTTTTCAAGTCAGTAAGTTTAAGACAATTTGTTAAGTGGCACTTGAAAATTAATATAGTTTAGGGACCAGCAGTTGGCATAATAGTTATGTCGCTGACCACTGTTCAAGTCCCAGACCTGGTGGCTTAAACTCACGTTGGGTGCATGTGTGTGTGTGTGCCCAAGATCCTGAGAGGAGAATGGAAAAGAAAGGACTGTGGCATGGTCATCCCCCCAGGAGGTAATTTCTTGCTGTCTCTCTGTCTTACTGGCAAGCATACACGCCCTATAGCAAAAACCTGTCAAAAAAACCCACAACTAATATAGTTTCATATATGCCAGAAATATTCTAGGCACTAGGTTATAGAAGTGAATAAACTAAGGCAAAAAACTACCTCTCATGAAGCTTTCAATATACTGAGGAAGAGACAATGAAAAAGACAGATGCAGGTTAAATGAGATCTTATAGGTCACGGGGTGGTGGCAAAAGAGATGGTACAAAAGGTCAGTCTTTTAATATAGTTTAAAGGTAGAGCTAAAAGGATTTTTTAAGGTGGTGGTATGGGAGAAAGGAAAGAGTTAAATACATTCTTTACTGATTAAGTCACAACTAAGACAGGGAAGACTGAAGAATGAGGTTTTGAGAGGAATATTGGGTACTCAGTTTTAGGCATTTTAAGTCTGTCAAATGGAGAATTTATAAGAACCCATATTTAAGAATATATTATTGGGGGGGCAGGAGGTGGCTGGTGGTTAAGGCACTGGACTTGCACATGGGCGACTCAGTTTGTTTTTTCTGGTTTTTTTGAGAGGTTTTTGCTATAGGGCGCATACGCTTGGCGGAAAGACAGAGAGAGAGAGAGAGAGAGAGAGACAGACAGACAGACAGACAGACAGACAGAAAGCGAGAAATCACCCCCCAGGAGGGATGCTCACGCCGCGATCCCCTCTCCTCCATTCTCCTCTTGGGATCTTGGGCACGCACGCACATGCGTCCGGCATGAGTTTAAGCCCCCAGGTCCAGGACTTGAACTGTGGTCGACTACATGGGAGTCCAGTGACATAGACATTACAGTAACTGCTGGTCCCATGGCTGACTCAGTTTGAGTGACAGCTTGAAACTCATGCTGGGTCAAGTGTGTGCATGTCCAAGATCCCGAGAAGAGAATGGAGGAGAAGGGATTGCGGTGTGGTCACTGCGCCGGGAGTGATTTGTTGCTGTCTCTCTGTCTCACCAGTGTGCACACACATTTTATAGCAAAAAATCTCTCAAAAAACAAATAAAAAAAGAATATATTATTGATATATGGAATTGCCTTAATTGAAAATCAGTCAATTTAAATAATACAGTTTAAAAATAAAGCACATTTGCTAAATTGGGCAAACCTACAGCCAGATGAGACAGAGGATAAACATGCAAAATTGCAATTCGAAGGATAACTGTATGGAAATCTTCCTTCAGTCAGAAACTGCTTCATATTTAGAGAACTGTCCTAAACAAAATCACTAATAAGGTAACTAAGGCAAGGCCTTTTTCCACCTTAATTATTTAATTTTTTTATTAGAGATTTTTAGTATATGACTCATGTGCTCACCAGAGAGACAGAGAGAGAAAGAGAGAGAGAAAGAGAGAGAGAGAGAGAGAGAGAAAGCAAGAAATCACCCCTCAGTGGGGGACAGCTATGCCACAATCCCTTCTCCTACGTTCTCCTCTTGGGATTTTGGACACACGTGCACACATGCCTGGTGTGAATTTTAAGCCACCAGACCTGGGATTCAAACAATGATTGATTATGTGGGAATCCAGTGGTGTAACATTATGCCCTCTGCTGGTCCGTAATTTTTTATTTATTATTGTTATTATTTTTTTCAATTTGACGAGACAGAGAGAGAGAGAAAGAAAGAAACAAAGTGAGAAAGCAAGATGCCAGGTCCAGGACTAGAACCATAGTCAGCCATGTGGAAGTCCAGTGCATAACCATCACACCACCTACCAGTCCCAACTAAGGCAAGGGCTTTAAGGAGGTAGGTACACTGCGGGTGCTGGCATGGTCTCACAGAATCTCAACTCCCTTCCCCCATCCCCTGTGCCACTGCCAGCCTGGTACACCTACATCCATGGACCATGCCACTTACTGAACTGGTTAACACACCTCAACTACACACCCAACATCTGAGCGTTGCACAGTGCAGCAGCCACTGCTTTCATAAGGCCCTCTTTCTTTTGTGCTGCTTTAATAACCCTACCACCCACCTGTCAAGACATGTCTAGGGATGGCAGTGGGCTGCCAGGGGCCAAAACAGGAAACTGAAACTTCCTAGCATAAGAAATCTGAATGATACCCCACAATTCAGTGAAATAAAAACAGTTACAAACTTTGGTTCTGGCTTGCACAAATTGGGTTTGGAAAGTGCATTAGAAGGAAGGGATAGATGTTTCTCTGTCTGCTATCGGATATTCCAGTTTTATAAGAAGTTGAATCACACTTGAAAGATCAGACTTCTTTAGAAAAATCATTTATCTGCTAAGGGAAACAAAACTAAAGAAATAAATAAAGATGGCAAGAACTGTCACAGACAAGTAATGCAAAACTACTGTTTGTAATAATATCCACATGAATATTCAAGAATCCAGTAAAAAGTGCTAGACTATTACAGCTGGAAAAAACCTCAGAGTACACTATCAGTTTAAGCAGCCTAAGAAACAGATATGGAAGACAGAATTAGAGAACTAGTATGTGAATTTTTAGTATTTCTGAGAAAATTCCAGAACAAATAGAAGAGAAGCAATATTTATTTATTTATTTATTTCAGTATTGCCAGAAGTATATGCACTCTCATCAGAAAGAGAAAGCACCCATCGGTAGGGTGAGGTCATGCTGCAATCCTGTTTGCTCCATTCCTCCTTCACAGCAAGACTTAAGGCACACATATACATGTACTCAGTGTGCTTTTCAAGCTGCTGGGGCTGGGATACAAACTGTGGTCAGTCATGTGGGATTCAGTTTCTTTATCCACTAAGCAGTGAGGCTGACCCAAGAAGCAACATTTAAAAGATAGTTCGTGGGCTGAAGAAAAATCCAAATATTTAGGTGAAGAGGTTCTATCTAATTTGAATTTGCAAGAAAATTAACAAAAAGTGGGCTGGCCTCATAGCCTAGTGGTTAGGGAATGCAGATTCCACATGGCCAACAGTGATTTGAGTCACAGCACTGGCAACTTGAAAAAACACACCAAGTACATGTGTGTGCATGTCCAAAATTCTAATGGGATGGAAAAATAAAGAAGAAGGGATTATAGGACAATGGCTATGCCCCATTGGGGAGTGCTTTTCCCCTCTCCTTCTTTCTTGATCTCTTTTTATTGGTGAGCACATGCACCCTCTGGCAATTAAAAAAAATTTAAAGAAAAGTATGAATATCTAGATGTAAACTAGTGAAACCGTAAACTTCAAAAATAAAGAACAACACAGATTGTCAGAAAAAAATAAAGATTACCACAAAGTCAGTTTTCTTATGAGTGTCATAGAGTAAGATATGATTAGAAATATATATAGTACCTTGATAACATGGTAAATGCTGCAGATGACTATTTCTGTATTAAGAAATATGTGAAATCCATAAAAAAAAATTCTCGGTTACAGTGGGGCTCTCAAAAATTTATTCTGAGATGTACTATAGGTGACTGAGATAAATCCAAACAAAACCTTTTGAAATGAAAATATTACAGAAGCCCTGATGATGACTATAGAAATTAAGTGGAGAAAATAAGTCTGATTATCATAAACATGGAGGAAAAGTATTACAAAAGTTAAAAATAATTCAAGGTCCAGCCTGGTGCAGTGGTACAATACTGATCTGAAGTCACATGGTCAACTGTGGATCTGGGTCCAAGCTGACCTGAGACATGCATGGCATGTGTCCGAGATCTTGACTAGCTGGAGGACTAGGGGAATGAGACTGCAGCCTGGTGAGACCGTATCATGGGTGCAAGCTCTGATGTACTCAACTGTACAAAAAAAAAATCTAATTTTAATCTGTTTCATAAAAAAATAAAATAAAAATAACCTGATTCAATAAAATATACAATTAACAAATTGAGACCTTGCCAAGGGTGCAAGCCCTCGTGTGCTCTAAATGTTTAAAAAAATTTTTTAAATGTTTCATTAAAAAATAAAAATAGGAACCAGCAGTTGGCATAATGGCTATGTCGCCGGACTCCCATGTAGCTGACCACAGTTTGAGTCCTGGACCCGGTGGCTTAAACTCATGCTGGGTGTGTGTGCATACGTGACCAAAATCCTGAGAGGAGAATGGAGCAGAAGGGATTGTGGTGTGGCCGTCCCCACTTGGGGGATGATTTCTCACTTTCTGTCTCTCTGTCTCTCTTTCTGGTAAGCACATGCGCCCTCTTCAAAAATAAAGAACAACACAGATTGTCAGAAAAAAATAAAGATTACCACAAAGTCAGTTTTCTTATGAGTGTCATAGAGTAAGATATGATTAGAAATATATATAGTACCTTGATAACATGGTAAATGCTGCAGATGACTATTTCTGTATTAAGAAATATGTGAAATCCATAAAAAAAAATTCTCGGTTACAGTGGGGCTCTCAAAAATTTATTCTGAGATGTACTATAGGTGACTGAGATAAATCCAAACAAAACCTTTTGAAATGAAAATATTACAGAAGCCCTGATGATGACTATAGAAATTAAGTGGAGAAAATAAGTCTGATTATCATAAACATGGAGGAAAAGTATTACAAAAGTTAAAAATAATTCAAGGTCCAGCCTGGTGCAGTGGTACAATACTGATCTGAAGTCACATGGTCAACTGTGGATCTGGGTCCAAGCTGACCTGAGACATGCATGGCATGTGTCCGAGATCTTGACTAGCTGGAGGACTAGGGGAATGAGACTGCAGCCTGGTGAGACCGTATCATGGGTGCAAGCTCTGATGTACTCAACTGTACAAAAAAAAAATCTAATTTTAATCTGTTTCATAAAAAAATAAAATAAAAATAACCTGATTCAATAAAATATACAATTAACAAATTGAGACCTTGCCAAGGGTGCAAGCCCTCGTGTGCTCTAAATGTTTAAAAAAATTTTTTAAATGTTTCATTAAAAAATAAAAATAGGAACCAGCAGTTGGCATAATGGCTATGTCGCCGGACTCCCATGTAGCTGACCACAGTTTGAGTCCTGGACCCGGTGGCTTAAACTCATGCTGGGTGTGTGTGCATACGTGACCAAAATCCTGAGAGGAGAATGGAGCAGAAGGGATTGTGGTGTGGCCGTCCCCACTTGGGGGATGATTTCTCACTTTCTGTCTCTCTGTCTCTCTTTCTGGTAAGCACATGCGCCCTATAGTAAAAACCTCTCAAAACAAAACAAAACCCCCAAAATAAAAATAATTTGATTCAACAAAATATGCAATTAACAAATTTGAATTTGCAAAAAAATTAACCAAAAATGGGCTGGGGCCCATGGACTAGGGGTTAAGGGATGATAGGGCATCATTTCAGTGAATAAGAAAACACACTGCCTTTGAATCCCTGCACTGCCTGTATGAGGCCTGTATGCAGTGCAAGGTCAGGCTGTAGTTCCAGAGCACAAGCTTGTGTCTCTCTTACTCTGACATCTACTGTAGATGCATCCCCACCCGAGTAAATGGGTAGCAGCAAAAAGAAGAGAAAAAAGGGAAAACCAACTAAGTACTCACAAACAACTCAATATTCTTCATGGCAATGAAAAGAAAAAATTGAAATGAACTGTTTAGTCAGTACTAAAATGTAAAATAAATGTACTCAAATTCTCCTCTGTTCTCATGCAACCATTTTTATAGAAAAATAAAGACTATGACAAAAAGAAGTTTGGTATAACCTGTGAGTTCATGCATTTCCCTTAATATAGGAAGATAAGAATTTATAACATTTGGAGGTTCTAATCATTTGCCATAAAGAAATAAAAGCAGAGGAGCAGATGGTGGTGCAGCAGTGACATAGCTGGACCCACATGGATTTGTTTCTCAGGACCTCCCTGTACACACCCGTGTGCCTGGGGTCTGGGCTAGCTGGGGATGGGGATTCTGTTAGGGTTCCTGCCCCTGCCACTGCTCTTTCTCTCATGGGAAAAATGAATAAATAAACTTTAAAAAAGAATTAAAAGGTGAAAAAAGTGTTCTAGATACTTACGCTTTACAAATAATGGAATGTTGAACTTCAAATTCTAAATTAGTAATAACAGGGCAAGTGTATACTCTGGTAGCTGAAATATCTGGTGCATTTTCTTCTCCAGGAACAGACTCAGTCTTCCAAGTTTTATTTAATTTTTCCATATCCTCTTTCAGCTGGTCTAAGCACTGACTTAAAAATTCATGAGCATCCTAAAAAAATAATATCCTTTATGAGAACAAAACATATCTTGTCATGATAATAGATTATTAACATTGTGATTAATAAAAATGAAGCATTTGGATGTAATGATATAGAAGAAAAAGGTCAGTTTTAGTCTAGTAAGGATTTCAGAGTACATATCTCTCATACTGTGAATAAAAAACAAACACTGGATTTGGTCTTTTTTTTTTGAGAGAGGTTTTTGCTATAGGGAGCGTGCACTTGCCAGAAAGTCAGAGAGAGACGGAGACAGAAAGAGAGAAATCACCTCCCAGGGGGGATGGCCATGCCGCAATCCCTTCTCCTCCATTCTCCTCTCGGGATCTTGGACAAGCACGCACACATGCCCAGTGTGAGTTTAAGCTACTGGGTCCAGGACTCAAACCACAGTTGACTACAAGGGAGTCCAGCAACATAGCCATTACGCCAACTGCTGGTCCCAGATTTGGTAACTGTCAGTTTCATGTGCATAAATGAATGGCTCTTTGCCTTGCTTGGAAAACAAACAAAAAAAGAGGTAATTTCTCTAAAATAGCCACAGTACCTAACACAATCCAAGTTCCTACACTGACAATTCACATCTATTAAAATATGGTAAAATACAAAGAAGTCTTACTGAATCTTCTAACTCTTCAAGTTTTTCAACACATGATGAAATCTCATCCACAAATCTCATTTAAAAATGAAAATCAGGTTAACACACTAAAATCATTTTAATTTCATTTATCTTTAAAAAAAATTTTTTCTTGGACAAGTTTTTGCTATAGGGCGCGTGCACTTGTCAGAAAGACAGAGACAGAGATAAAAAGCGAGACATCATCCCCCAGTGGGGACGGCCACACTGCAATTCCTTTTCCTCCATTCTACTCTCGGGATCTTGGGCACACACGAACATGCGCCCAGCGTGAGTTTAAGCCACGGGGTCCAGGACTTGAACTGTTGTTGACTACATGAAAGCCCAGTGACATTGCCATTATGCCAACTGTAGGTCTCACCTATCTCTGAAAATTAAAAAAAAAAAAAAATTATGGGCCCAGGGTCAAGTGGTTAAGGGAGCTAGATCCCACGAGGCCAACTGTGCTATTGATTCCTGACCCTAGTGGCTTGAAAATCACACCAGGCGTGTATGTGTACCCCAAATACCAAAAGGATGGAGAAACAGGAGAAAGGATTGCAGTGCGACTATGCCCCACTGACGGGGTGCTTTCTCCCTCTCCCTCTGGCAAGTGCATGTGTACTCCGGCAAAAACAAAAAACAAAATTAAGTACTCACATTCTGCATATAACCAGAGAATCTCTCTGCTGTTGCTGAAATAGCATTTTTAACCTTCTTGAGTAAATCTTTTTTGGTCTCTGAATTACAGATATCTTTTTTGACAAGCAAGTGTGCAAAGCGTCTGGTAAAATAAAACAGACAAGGTTAGCATGTTTTAGAGTAACACTGAAAAGCATATTTTAACACTAATTACTCAACAATGGTACATACAACTTTAAGTATCTAAAACCCCATTATTCTATAATTAGTGAGGTAAAAAGTTACTTCAAAAGTCTGTAACAATTACCTGATAAGTGCATTGAGTGGAATTTTCTTCCATGGGATACCTTGCTTAAGTAAGTCATTTGCAAACGATTGGAGTGAAAACAGAGATTGTAAAATAGCATTCATATAGCAGGTATTCCCCAAATTGGAGAACCTAAAAACAAAAGAAATATTGTTTAAGAAGACTAAATTAGTTCCTGAAGTATCTTCAGTATGGCAGGGGTTCTCCACTGCAGCAATCATCAGAATTACCTACCTAGATGACTTGCTAAACTAGTATTACTTGCCCTCCAATCACAGTTTCTGATTCAGGAGGTCTGATAGAGAAGGCAAAAACAGGCATTTTTAACAAATTATCAGATGATGCTGACACTGCTATACCAGGAAAATTAAATACACACACACAGAAATAAGAGTTCAAACACTGGGACCAGCCAGTTGGTGTAATGGCTATGTCGCTGGACTCCATGTAGTCGACCGCAGTTCAAGTCCTGGACCCGGTGGCTTGAACTCACGCTGGCACATGTGCGTGCATGTCCAAGATCCCGAGAGGAGAATGGAAGAGAAGGAACTGCAGCAAGGCCATCCCCCTGGGGGGTGATTTCTTGCCTTCTGTCTCTCTGTCTTTCTCTGTCTTTCTGGTGAGTGCATGTGCCCTTCAGCAAAATAAATTCTCCAAAAATAGTGCAAAAACTAAGAAAATGGCCAACTTAATCATAGGGACAAGTCTGGAGTTGAATATTATATTCCAGAATTCAATCGGAAAGATCGAACCACAACAGAAGATAAATTAAGTACATAAGGCTGAAGGGGTGAAATAGCATTTTATGACTTTAGACTAAAACATTGCTGATTTTCTTCCTTTGTTTTCTGGTTTTAAGGATTTCTGTCCTGTCTTGAGCTTCATGTACCTACTATTTGAACAGAATCCTAACCTGTTTCCTGGCTTTAAGTTTTAAGCAAAGTTCTTAGCATTTCTTTGATTTATTAAAGTTAAAACTGCTTTTCTTGAAATTAAAAAACATATTATAAAATACCTATTTAATGACCATAATAAGCTACATAGCATCAGCTAGTGAGGTACCTTATAGTATATATATTCTACTCAGCGTTTCATGCCTAAAGTCAGACATGTATTCATACATATGTATATACCAGCTGAACTTGCTATTGAAAGTAGTTAGATTATTTAAAAAATTTTGTGAATCAATAAAATGTGGGGAAAAAAAGGAATGGAAAACAACTATAGACACCTGAGATAGCATAGAAGGAGGGTGAGAAATGGCAGAGGGTGAGAAAGAGGGGGAAAATATATATAGACCTATATACATATGAAATATATATAGACCTATATACATATGAAACTAGAAATAAAAAATTATTGATGATAACATCTATAATTAAGCCACTACGCAATATATTCTGGATGGGAAATCACATTTTGTATGCAGTGACGATGTTCAGTGAATGAAAGTTAATTAATTTTCAAAAAAATAATACACAAAGAAAGTGAGTCAAGGATTGTATATTTAGCTAAACTATCCTTGAAACAGCTAGAGAGAGTTTTGAATGTGCAAGAACTCAGGAAACAATGTACATAAATGTAGAGTTAAGACTAAAATAGGTTGAGACCGTCGTTTCTTCTAATCAGAAACTAGATAAAGCAGAAGACAATGGAAAAATATCTTTAAAATGATGAAAGAGAAACACTACCAAGCTATACTTCTATACAAGTTCAGCTTTTGGACTTTTGGATTTAGTGATAACATCTTTTGAAATTAAAAGCAAAAGACTTTTTCTGACAAAATTTGAGTTTATTTGTTGCCAGGAGAATTTTACTATAAAAAATATTAAGGCAGAAGGAAAATGAGACCAGGTAAAACTCACAACTATACAAAAAACTGGAGTACTTGAATGATAAATGTGCAGAAATATAAACTACATTTCTCACTCATCTTTTAATTTCTTTAAATACACTTAAGTGCTTAAAGTGAAAACAATATACTAAGGATCAACAGGTGGCATGGTGGTTAAGGTTTAGGCCTCCCACATGGCCAACTACAATTCAAATCTCAGACCCAATCACTTGAAAATCACACCAGGCAGGTGTGCATAACTATACAAAATTCCAAGACAACAATGGAGAAGGAACCGCAGTATGGTTATACACTCCTGGGGTGATTTCTTACTTTCTCTTTCACTGTCTTTCTCTGCAAGTGTGCATGCTCTATTGCAAAAGCCTTGAAATATACTGAAATACACAGTTTAAGTGAGTAACTGTATGGTATGTAAACTATCTCAAAAAGGCAAAAAGAAAACAGTAACATTGTGGAATTTATAACACATGTACAAGTAAAATAAATGACAACGGCATAAAGGAGGTAGGGCAATAAATATAAAATGAATACAAAAGAAAGAAATGAAAGAGAAAAAGGAAAATTACATGTAATAAAGATAACAAAATTAAACCCAGATTTATCCATAACTATGCAAAATGTAAATGGCCTAAACCAATGATCAATTTAGACTGGATGATCCAATCATAAGAAATCTGGAGTCAGGGCCAACAGGTGGTATGGTGGTTAAGGTTCTAGATACCCACATGGTCGACCATGGTTTGATTTCAGGACCTAATGGCTTGTTTTTTCACTTTTCCTAGTTATTTGTCTCTCTCTCTGATCAAATTAAAGAATAATAATACTAATAAAAAATAAATAAAATAAATAATTATTTTTTAAAAATAGAATTCTGGAGTAGGACCAGCAGATAGCGTAATGCTTACATTGCTGGACTCCCACTGTGGTTCAAGTCCCAAACCCAGCGGCTTAAACTCACACTGGGTGCATGTGCATGTGTACCCAAAATCCCAAGAGGAGAATGGAGGAGATGGGACTGCGGTGTGGCCATCCCCCCCGGGGGTTGACTTCTCACTTTCTGTCTCTCTGTCTCTGTGGGGAGTACATACTCCCTATAGTAAAAATCATGCTAGGTTTGTGTGCATGTATGCCTTAAATCCCCACAAGATGGATAATTGGAGCAGAAGGGACTGTGGCATGACCATGCCCCACTGGGGGATACTTCCTTACTCTTTCTTTCCATCTCTCTGCTGAGCATATATGCCCTCTAGCAACAAAAAAATAAATAAAGATCAAGGCAGACAGAAATAAGACCTAGATGAAGAATGGTCTAAAAATATAATAGATAAAACCACTATCAGAACATTATCTGGCAAGAGGACAGGAAAATATTGAGACAGACTAATCAGAATGAACAAAGGAAATTAAGTATTAAACTCGAGTAAATAGTGTAGAACACAGTACAGAGAATCTGAGGATCAGAGAAAGCAACAGGCAAGCAGAGAGGAAAGTGAAAAAAAAATTTTTTTTTTTTGGAGAGGTTTTTTGCTATAGGGTGCGTGCGCTTGCCAGACAGAGAGAGACATAGAGACAGAAAGCGAGAAATCAAACCCCAGGGGGGATGGTCATGCCACATCCCTTCTCCTCCATTCTCCTCTCGGTATCTTGGGCACGCACGCACACACACCCGGCGTGAGTTTTAAGCCTGTGGGTCTGGGATGCGAACCGCAGTCGACTATGTGGGAGTCCAGCGACATAGCCATTATGCTAACTGCTGGTTCCCAGGAAAGTGAAAATTTTCACTGCAAATTTATAATGTTAATATGTAACACTTATAAACTACTATAGATCAGACGAATTGGTAGATAACCTTGTTAAAATAAAATGATAAGTTTAACGCTGCTGTCAAAGCAACAATTTGAATGAGATTAAAAACAAGTAAGCGGGACCAGCGGGTGGCATGGTGGACAAGGTGCTGGACACTCCCACATGGCTAACCGGGGTTCGAGGCCTGGACCTGGTGGCTTGCTTTCTCACTTCCCCTCTCTATCTCTCACCCTCTGTCTCTCTCTGGTTGAATTAAAAAATCAATGAATGAATAAATAAATAATAAAATAAATAGTTATTAAAAAAAAAAAACAAGAAAGAAAGCCATGTCTCCCTGGTGAGTGCATGTGCTCTATGGCAAAAACCTAAAAAAACAGAAGGAGGGTGAAAACTAAATGTACATTAATGTGATTGAAATTTCTATATTAATATATAAGGATACTCATGATTAATGTGCTGTGAAAAAGTCAGATTAACAGAGAAGCAGTATAGGATATTGGTTAAGAATGTAATCAGAGTCTAACTGCCTGGATTTCTACTACTGCTGTATTACTGACTTGGAGCAAGTTAATTAATTTTACTAATCTTAGTTACGTCATTAATAAAAGCAGATTTTTAAATCTATCTCACAGGTTGTTGCAAGGATTTACAGTAAAAAAAAAATTTCATTTAAACACCTAACACACAGTTTCTGGCCCATAAGGAACATTTTAGGTAAAGTAGTTACTATTAAGTTGTTGGAAAAGTCATGACATATTTTTCGATGGAAAAATGCACCAGGACTTTTTCAACCACGCCATGTTACAATTACAGATGATACTATGATCTCCATTTCCGTGTTTAATTAAAATACAATAATACAGGGGGGCCAGCAGGTGGCATGGTGGTTAAGGTGCTAGACATTCCCACATGGTTTGAGTCCCAGACCTGGTGGCTTGCTTTCTCACTTTTCCTCTTGCCCTCTCTGGTCAAATTAAAATAATGAATGAATAAATAAAATTAAATAATTATTTTTTAAAAATACAATAATATAGGAACTGGAGAGGAGAGAAGATAAGACTTAATGTCAAAAGGATTTTAGTAGCAGGAGAAAGTTTATGGGATTAGATAGTATGCATTTAACATTTTTGTGGCTGTAGTAAGTCTTTTATAAATTACCTCATTTCTAAATATTTCAGAACTATAATCAAGGAGACCAATTTCATAACTTTTTTTTAAACAAGTTTTTACTATGCCAACAATTCTCCTGCTTCAGCCTCCTGTGTAGCTGTGACTAGAGACATGTGTCACCACATAGGTTTTTAGAGTGGGCCAAGAATTGAACCTGGGCATCTCTTGTGGCTTTAGTTTGCCAAGTAGAACATTAACCAATATGTGCTATCACAGCTAAACCTCATTATTCTTTTTTTTTTTTTTAACACCAAACAATCCATACTTAAGTGGAATTATTTTATAAAAAAGAAAATCAAACAACAGAATTTACCTACCCCTGCAGTTGCTGCTGTTGGTGGGAGGTAAGGGGTATTCTTGGTTTGTTCCAGCCAGTGTAATCTTGGTTACACCTCAGTTTTTTAACAGAAAGAGGAGCCGGCTGAGGAAGAAATCCCAAACTTCTTTTAGCCGAGGGAGTCTGGCCTGAAACATTAGTCCTAAAAGAAAAAGATAAAAAACAAATTAATTATTTTTTTAGGAATTATTTTATTTTATTCAAGTTGCCAGGTCCAGGACTCGAACAATAGTCAGCCATATGGGAGTACAGCATCTTAACCACCACATCAAGTGCTGGTCCCACAAAATAAATTTAGAATATCATATTTTTAGCATTTAGAAGTCAGTCTAGGAAAAAAAAAATCTTAAATTTAGAGAAATATCAGTAAAACAAAATAAAACAAACAAAAACTAGCAAGTCTATTGAGAGAGCTAAAAACATTTATAATACTATGCATATTTAGCCTACAGTAAGACAATCCACATTAGAGGCTTGAGAAAAACCAGTTTCACTTTTGAATTTATTTTTTATCTACTTCATGAATATCACACATTAGTTTGCACAGTCTTAAACAGATTGAGGCAGTCAACTTTTTCTACTATTACAAACAACATAACAAATATATTTACCCAGTCACCTTGAGAAACTGCTGTAGTTTAATTGCCACAGGGCACATGAGCTTGCCAGAGAGAGAGAGAGAGAGCGAGCGAGCAAGTGCAACCCCAAATAGGGTGTGGTCTTGCTACAATCCTGTTTTCCTCCACTTTTCCACTTCATCAACACTTTGGGCACACATGCCCGGTCTTTTGCAAACTATTGGTGCTACGGTTCAAACTATGGCTGGCCATGTAGGACACTACCTGGCTCCCTATGCACAAAGCTTAACAGTTGCACTATAGGGCTGGCCTGATTTTCATTTAAAACTGTTGCACACATTGTAATTTTTTTCCCCAAAAGGCTGTACAACTTATATTTCTGCCAAAAGTGAATTTCTTCACATCTCCATTAGTAGTATTATAAGTTTTAATTTTTAATATAGGGACACCTGATCTGTTACTTTATTTTGCAATTTCCTGATTACTACAGAAGTTAAACATAATTTTATAATTGTTTTCTACTCTAAATTATTATTCTGCATCCTTAGTTTAATTATTTAGCTTTAGATTTTTGTCATAGGGTACATGCGCTCTCTGGGGGGGGGGAGGGGAGAATGAGAAATCACCTGCCAGGGAGGATAACTATGCCTCAATCCCTTCTTCTTTCCCCTCAGGATTTTGGGCATGCACACACTTGTGCCTGGTGTTTTTCAAGTTGCTGGATATGGGACTCAAACTGTGGAGTTGGCCATATGGGACCCAGTGTCTTAGCCATGCCACCTGCTGGCTCCCCATTCTTAGTTTTATATTAGGTTTTTATTTTCAATTTGTCTGAGGATACATGTGCTCACCAGAGAGAGAAAGGCAGAGTTAGAAAGCATTATTCAATGGGAATGGTCACACCACAATCTCTTCTCCTCCATTTCTCTCTCCTTTGGGAATTTTAGGCACCCACAAACACATGCCTAGCATGTTTTCCAGTGCCTGGTCTGAGACTCAAAGTGTACAACTGGCCAAACGGGAACTAGTGATCTTAACCACTGTATCACTGGTTGCCCTATACTGAGTCCTGAATGACTATAATTTTTTATATATTCTATATAGTAGTCTTTTTTCCATTACATATTCTAAGTTTTAAATTTTTACATAGTTGGGGACCAGCAGATGGCATAATGGCTACACTTCTGGACTCCCACATGGCCGACTGCAGTTTGAGTCCCAGACCTGGTGGCTTGAAACTCACATTGGGCATGTGTGTGTGCGTATCCAAGATCCTGGGAGGCAAACGGACTGTGGCATGGCCATCCCCCTTAGGAGGTGATTTCTCATGTTTACATTCTCTCTCTCTCTTTCTCCGGAGACCACGTATGCCCTAAGACAAAAACCTCTTAATTTTTTTTTTTTACATAGTCAAATTTATTAACCATTTCTTTTTACAGTCTGATTTTTGTTGCCTTGTTTATGAAATCATCCTGCTTCGCTGGTCACAGAAATGTGTTTTTGTATTTTTTAATTTACTACAGGCCATGTACCCTCACTAGAGAGACAAAGAAAGCTGCCAGGTCTGGGATCTGAACCACTGTCAGCCATGTCTAAGTCCAACGCCCCAACCACCACGCCATCTGCTGACCCCCCCCCCAAAAAAAAACCCCAAGTATTTTTGACAGTCTTGCTGTGTCATGACCTTCCTGCCCTTATTTCTCAATTAGCTAGGATTAGACATGCAAAACTGGCTCAGCATATTCAGACTGGGGTGGGAACTTAAACTGTGTTACCCATGTGGCTTCCACCTTCCTAAGTGGTAGAACTACCTGTGTGGTACCCTTGCTAGGTCAATTTGGAAACTTATTTTTATTTATATTGTAAGACATAAACATCATTTGCTTTCCTGTAAGAAGACACTTGACCCTCAAATTATTTATGGTCTGCACAGGCCGTGTGTTAGGAACTATCTGGCTTTTAATTTTTTTTTAAAATGTGAAATACAGAGCCAGCAGATGGTATAGTAGTTACGGTACTGGACTCCCACAAGGCCAACTGCGGTTCGAGTCCTGGACCTGGTGGATTGAAAAAATCACATTGGGAGCATGTGCATGCATGCCCCAAATCCTGAGAATGGAGGAGAAGCAACTGCAGTGTGGCCGCCCCCCCGGGGGGTTGATTTATTCTCCTTGAATCTGTGATGATTCCTCTAGGTTTTTTTTAACTTTATTTGTTTGTTTGTTTATTTTAATTTAACCAGAGAGGGACAGAAAGAGAGAGGAGGGAAAGTGAAAAAGCAAGCCACCAGATCCGGGACTTGCACCATGATCAGCCATGTGGGAGTCCAGCACCCTTAATCACTACCACCCTTAATCACTGGCCACCTGCCAGCCCCTCATTTTGTTTTTTGATGACTTTGACACTTTTGAAGAGTACTGGCAGGTATTTTATAGAATCTCCTCCAATCTGGGTTTGTCTGATGTTTTCTCATCGTTACACTGAGGTTAGGCATTTGCAAATAGTAATAATCAGAAGTGAAATTATGATCTCCTTGGTGTATTGTATCACAGAATACATAGTAACAATGACTTATCACTTAATTGTGCTTTTTTTTTTCTAACACTGGAGGTGCACCTGTGTACGGTAACAAAGAGAGGGAAAGCACGAGCACATGCGTGCTCACATCTCCAATAGGGCTTGGTCATAAGGCCACAATCTTTGTTCCTCCAATTCTCCATCCTGTCAAGATCCTGAGTACATGCACATGCCCCTGACAGGTTTTTCAAGCTGATAGGGCTGGGACTCAAACCCTAGTCAGCCAGGTGGGACACAGCTTTCTCTGTGCAGCACTTAACTGTGGTACTATTGGGCCCACCTGGTGGTACTCATTGTGATCACTTGTAAAGGCGGTGTCTGCAGGGTTTCTTCACTGTGAAGCTACTATTCTTGCCCTCTATCATCAAGAAACATCTTGCCGGGACCAGCAGTTGGGGTAATGGCTATGTTGCTGGACTCTCATGTAGTCGACTGCAGTTTGAGTCCTGGACCCAGTAGCTTAAAACTCACGCCGAGCACATGTGTGTGCATACCCAAGATCCCGAGAGGAGAATGGAGGAGAAGGGATTGCGGCATGACCCCTGGGGGGTGATTTCTCGCTTTCTGTCTCTGTCTGTCTGTCTGGCAAGCACATGTGCCCTATAGCCAAAACCTCTCAAACAAAACAAAAAACAAGAAACATCTTGCAAGGAGGCCAGCAGGTAATGTGGTGATTGGGGTGGTGAACTTCCACATGGTTGACCACAGTTTAATTCCTGAACCTGGTGGTTTGCTTTCTTACTTTTTCTCTCCTTGTCTCTCTCATCTCTCTCTGATGAACTCATGTGCCCTATGGCAAAATTAATTAATTAATTAATTATTTAAACACATAAATAATTTTTAAAAATATCTTGTAGGGGGACCAGCGGTTAGCATAATGGCTATGTTGCTGGACTCCCACGTAGTTGACCGTGGTTTGAGTCCTGGACCCGGCGGCTTAAACTCACGCTGGGCGTGTGTGTGTGCATGCGTGCCCAAGATCCTGAGAGGAGAATGGAGGGGAAGGGATTTTGTGGCGTGGCCATCCCCCCTGGGGGGTGATTTCTCGCTGTTTCTCTGTCTCTGTCTTTCTGGCGAGCGCAGGTGCCCTATAGCAAAAACCTCTCAAAAAAAAAAAAAAAATCTTGTGGGAAAATACTTTGATGTTATGTAAGTAATTCTTTCTTATGAAACTTTTATCCACTAATATTAGCACCCACTGATGGATTTTATTTGTAATTATTACTGTAGTATTTGCCAAATGGTAATGTTTTATTCCTACATTTCATCTACTTTTTTAAAAGTTTGTTTCTTCCATAAGCAAGAGGTGCAAAGGGCCTGTCTCATAGGCACAGTGGTTTCCTCTAGTTCACCTTAGTCCCAGGGGAGTCCTTTAGTCCATACTGAAATGTGTGGAGAAATATACCAGCTTCCCTAACCTGATGGGTCCTGGACTATACGATGTTCTCTTAGAGCCATGGTATGACAAAAGCACTGTTCAGTATCTCATTGCTCTCTGCAAGTTCAGCCAATGTACTTGAGAACTCTGGATTTCCTCCTTCCTTATCTTCACATGGTAACTCCAGTTCGGCCAATATACCTAGGAACTCGGAATTTCTTCCTTCCATATCTTAGCTTGGTAATTTCTTACTCTCATTAGCTTTTTGATGTCATTTAGATTCTCTCATTTTTTTCCCCAACAAAACCCATTTTTAAAAGAATTATTTAAATTTTATTAAATAAATAAATTTTACCAGAGGGATGGGGGGTGGGGGTGGGGGAGGAGAGTGAGTGAGAAAGCTGGCTGCCAGGTCTGGGACTTGAACTGGGATCCCCCATGTGGGAGTCCAGTGCCCTCAACCACCACATCACCTGCTGGCCCCCAACCAAAAACAGTTTTATTTATTTCCAGAGAGACAGAGACAGGCATCCTAAACCAGGTTACCTGTGTCTCACAACATGATCTTCTTCCCAGTCTAATACTTGGCCGAGATCATAGGTTCACTGT